CCCACATGACCGCTTGATGCCAGTGAGGCACGAGGACTGTGGTTATCCCAGGGATTTCGACATCACCCGTGCCAAGCTGATATTGGCGGGGGTCGCGCGCCCAGTGCTTTCGGAGAAAATAAGGCCAGCCGCCACAGTACGCGATCAACTGGTCCACGTTCCAGTCCTGGAACTTCGCGTGGGCGCCGTTGTCAAATCCCGCCATCAGCGCGGCGGTGGCGTCCAGTTCACCAGAGAACAAAGTGGTCGCTGCGGCGTTGCTATGGTCGACGGCGACTTCTTGGGAGGCGTCCCAGATCGAACCAGCAATCTCGTCAAACACAGCGGGGTCCAGGTTCCTGACCATTTCGGGGTCAACGCCCCAGGCGGTCGCGCCGGCCCTTCCGCGCAGATCTGTCGATTGTCAGTAAACGTCGTGAGGGTTCCGATGCGCGGGGCTAGGGAGACAACAAAAAGGTCTTCACAGTAGCAGTCCCCACATGTCGGAAGAGTTCCGATGCGCGGGACCAGGCCCTGCAAAAGGAGAGGAAAAGGCCAAAAAGAAAAAAGGTCTTCCACCCGGTAGTGTGTGGATGTCGGAGTGGTTCCGATGTACGGCGTCTGGTCACTCACATGCAAGGCGGGCCATCTCTTCGGCCGGTTCCAATGATTCGTGACCCTTGAACTCAGCCACTACGCTCAAGTATCCCAGCGTACGCCCCGCCACCTCCGTCTTCCAACCCCAAGCCGCTTTCGCGTTCTCATCGGACACCTTCTTTGTCTTGACTTCGGGCAGGAAACCCGCCAGGTGTTGGGCCAGTTGCGCCTTCGTGGTGACGTCGATCTCGCGAAGTTTGAATCGATCCCTGTCTTCAACGGGGACCATTCCCATTCCTCTCAGGAACGCCACTGCGGCCTTTGCCGCACTGCTCAACTTCGCGGCCGCGATGTCCGCCCCCACCAAGACTTCACCCGCCGGCTTCTTCGGAAAGAACGCGAAGAAGTCATTCCAGCGTTCGTGCGCCTTCTTCAATGCTCGACTCGCTCGGGCCTTGAGCGCGTCGGTTTGACGGTCGAAGAGCATTGAAAACAAAAGCTCGGCGTTCCCCGACATCCAGCTCGAGCTGATCGACGAGCGGTACAGGTCAATCAGGATGTCCTGCTTGACCCGGCCGTAGTGGTGTTGTCCAGGAGGAACCCTGGCGTTGGCCGCGTCTTGCATCTGAAACGCATCCGACATGAATAGTTCGAGAGGATCACCTACTTCCGATTTCTTCACCAGTTCCGTAAACTGCCAAGGTGTCAACAGAGGTTGCGTAGCATAGTCCATCACTCACCCGTGCCGAATGCGTCAAGTCCCAGTTTTCCTTCGACGCCTTGATCATCAGGCGTTCGAACTCCGGTGCTTGCGACCAGTCGAACCCTCGGGCGGTCTTGTGAACCCAAGTGATGATGTCCCGATCCACACCGATCAGCTCCGCACGCATGTTGGCATGTTCCTCCGGCGTGAACTCCGAGCCCGCAGGAGGGTTCGTATCCCAAAGTGGATACACCCCCTTCTCCCTGAGCTCCAGGACAAATGCCGGCGTCGCCATCGATCCGTCCTCCTCTTCGTAGTCGTCAAAAAGGGTGCTGCACCGGAGCAGCAGTTGTCCCAGAGCCCCGTACATCGCAACGACGATCCCCATCTGTTTCTTGACCGTCGCAGGCGGGTCGAGCTTGGTCTTCTTGTTCGGCTCGGCTAACACGACTTCTGCTTTTCCTATCTCTTGTCAGTCGACGCTGTCCGATTCAACGTTCACTTACTTTTCCCGGCTCTTGCAGCCGGCGCTGGCGTGGGGGCCGACGGAGTCGATGGGATGCTGGAAGACGGCAGTAGCTGCTGCGGCGTCGGCTGCGGTGTAGTTGGCCGCGCGTCCATTGGAGAGCCCTGTTCCTCGTCCGGTACCGGTTGAGCGGGCGCTTGCGCTGGGGCTGCAGGAGCGGCAGCCGCCTTCTTTTTCGCTGCCAGGAATCAGTGGGGTCTCTACAGTCCGAAGCAGCTTACGCCTGGGTTTCGGTCGCATCGCCTTGGCGATCGGCGCTCGGCTAGACCCAGCCTCGTCCTGTCGCGCTGGGGCGGGTGGCCGCGGGTTTGCCGTGTCATCCCCTGAGCTCATTTGTCAGAGGCGCGATGTGCGAGGTACGTGCTTCTGACCCAATGTCGCAGTGAGATCTCCAAGTATCGGATCATCTGCGGCGGATGGCCCCGCCGCCTGCGTTTTGCCCTTGCCTTTACTCTTCTTCGCAGCGTCACTCACTGCTGCCGGGACTCCGGTCGAAGGCCCAGCCTGGGCCTTGCCCTTGCCCTTGCCTCGCGCTTTGGGTGTAGGAGAGGGCGGTGGCTCAGACTCGCTTTCTTCCGCGGGGGCCTTTTGGGCCGCCTTGGCTGCGGCGCGGTCTTCCTTGCGTTTCTTTTTTTCAGTGGACGACAACTTTTTCGTCATGGGGGAACGTCGGGACACTTCCGATACTGGGGTGCGAGTGGTTAATTGTGGCTGTGCTCCGACAAATGGGGAAGGTGGTGGTCAAGAGCAAGAGCAGTTGGTCACGTCACAACCCATCAGCCCCGGCATGAGTCACTGATGATCGCACGTGATATCCCGCTTTCAGTCTTCCCCGTCTGGCGTAATGGAATTGTCGGGATTGGGCTTAGTTGGTTTCAATTCCACCGCGTTTTCATGGTGCCGCAATTTCACCCCGGTCGTCCGTGTGCGGTTGTAAACGACTTGGCCTTACTGGGCGGCCGGGCAAAGGGTCGCCAGACTGTCTGCTGCTGTTCATCGGGACCTTTCCGATGCGTGGGTCTGGGTGCCTTCCCCATCTTGTGCTGACTTGCCGCGCAACACCCCAGGTCAGGGGTCGCCAGATCGCCTGTTGTTCATCGGGACCTTTCCGATGTGTGGGTCTGGGTGCCTTCCCGTCTTGTGCTGACCTGCAATACTCCCTAGTCAGGGGTCGCCAGATCGCCTGCTGTCGTTCATCGGGACTTTTCCGATGCGTGGGTCCGGGTAGTTACTTATCTCATCCAGACTTTACCATCTGGCTTTCTTGCTCTCCGTTTCACGCTGCTTGGAGGGGGCAGTGGACTCCCTGACGTTCATGGCCCTGTTCCATATCATCACCCCGCAGCAGGAACTGCCTTGTCAAAACAGATTTCAGTCTGTTTCAAAACCCAGGGTGACTCCATTGGGACTCTCCCGATGCGTAGCCTCTGTCGCCCTAGAGGCATCCTCGCAGGCACGTGTGTCGGAACACTTCCGATGCGGGGCATTCACTCCCATCTTGTCACATGTCCTGCCGATCAATTGTTGTCACTTGTTTCCAGGTCAACTTCCTGTCTCTGATCACTCACGGTCAGTCACCGCTCGACGATCCAGGCCTGAAGCTGGTCCAAGCGTAACCCTAAACGGCCAGGGAGGCCTCGGGAAACCCTGCCCTGGGGTTAGGACTGGCCTAGGGAATCGACCCTAGAGCACTTCTAATAACCCTAACCAGATTGCACAGCGCACTGGGCCAATAAACCAGTCAGCACCCTGCACACGGGCGTGGGCACTGGAATGGAGTTTGTGGCGGTCGTTAGATGCTGGTGCAGAGCGATACGGAAGAGTGGGAGGCAGTTGCGTGGTTACAGTATATCGGGTGGGCGGTGTTGGGGATGTCGTTCTTGAGCTCTGCACTTCTTCCGCGCGCGTGTTTCGTGTCATGGTGGTTCTTAGGAGTTCAGGTGAGCTGCATGTAACGTCTTCCCACCGTGCGATGATACTTAACCGTGCTGGTCCTTACCTTCACCATTAAGGCCGGATAGCGTGGGTTAGACGTATTCTACGCAGATGCGGCTGCAGGGCCCGTGATTCACTGCTTCGAGTGATGATGTTGACGGGTCGGATGAAGGGATTATGAGCACTGGTCGTCGAGATCCAGATGTTGGCCTCGGGGACAAGTGTCCCATTAAGGAAGTCGTTCCCCATTGGCGCTGGCGGCCCAGAGAGAAGAATGTTATGATGAGGAGTCGGTATTAGCGTCGACAGATGAGGCGCATGTACCTAGCGAGGCAATACCGTCAGCTCCGGGACCGCGACGACGACTTACATGTTCCGCTATGGCTTGGCTAGCCCAGACGCTAACCCATTCTGTTTTTGACCGCTGCCATCCGATCCCACCTTCCTTCGACCTTTGTGCTGCCGTTCCCCTATTTCGTGTGTTCTAGTGCGCGTCTTGCATGAGTTCCGTGAGGCGCAAGATGAGGTCTGTGAGGTGCAAGATGAGGATGTGGGAGGGTGTGACGCTATCGTCACACCCTCCGTGGGCTGTCCTAGTGCGTGGAATCGGGCCTCTGGGCGCACTTTGCGGCAAATTTGAGTCGCCAGAAGTGTTCTGCTTGTGCCGACCTTCAATTTGAGTGGCGAGGATTTTCCATTGTCCAGGAGTTGACTCTGGGATCCATGATTCTCGCCGGGTTCTCCCATCCTTCGTTGACAGCTCCCATCATTTCTCGTCTCCTCACCTTGCTCTGGCTTCCCATCCCTCCACAATGCAGGGACAGCTGTTTCATGTGGACAGATGCATAGTACATGTGTTTTAGTACATAATTTCCCAAATGAGCAAATAGATTCGAGGAGGTTTGCCTCTGGGATCCATCGTCTAATCAGCATCAGTGATTCTGATGGTGCTGGGGGAAGATGTTGATATTCCACCACAACGGCTGGTTGAATAAATATGAAACTTGGCATGTGTAATCTTCCATATGTCCATGTGAGAATGCGCAAAAGAAATCGTGAGTGTTGAGTCAACTGCGGTTGGGATCCATCCTCTGATCATCGCGCCAGTTTTGCAGGGTGCCAAAAAAGACGCCTTCCTGGTGGGGCTGCGCAGCAGCCCCACCCCCTCAGACCCATGGATCCATGTGGATCCCGGGTCCAGGGGACCTTAAGCTACATGTGGATATAATTTTCGTAAAATTTCGTGGAGAAATGAGGTCAGGATCCACGTTTGCAACGGGATCGCATCTGGGAGGGGAAATATACATTACTAGGGTCCAGGGGACCTTAAGCTACATGTGGATATAATTTTCATAAAATTTTGTGGAGAAATGAGGTCAGGATCCACGTTTGCAACGGGATCACATCTGGGAGGAGAAATATACATAGGGGAGATGAGCAGAGTGAGGCCGTGAGTTGATGCCTTCATCGTCTCCGTGAGCAGAGGACCCGGAGGATGCGTGATGCGGTGCTTGTGCATGCACTGGGAGAGATGTCGCTGCGTGCGTCGTTTCGTCTTGGTAGAAGTCGTCCCAGTTCTCGGCGCTATTCTGGGACTCCTTGTGGACGTGTTCTGGATGTGGTGGTGAAGAGCGAATGTCGTGATCGTGAGAGGTGGATGCGTCGGACGGTGAGCTTCGCGCGCTTTGGGCGTTGAATTCAAAGTCGTCATCCCAGTTTTGGACGCTTCTACAGAGGTTGATCAGTACAGTGATAAAGAGACGAAAAGCGAGGGTTCCAGTGATGTCCGTCACTGTCCTTGCCTCGATCGTGGGCACCGCGCACGCGTCGCCATCGCCCCATATGGTAGGTGGTTTTGGGGTACTCCTCGCAGTTGAATAGCCGGTACCCATACGTGAGCGGTGTGGCAGTCTGCGCCGTCGAGCTCAGACCACTGGTGGCATTTACAATCAAAGGGGGTGGGACTCACACAGGCAAATGTAGTCGAGAGCAGAAAGGTTGCAAACAGCACATGTCGATATGGACTAGGACACGTACTCGATCCGGACGAAAACGATCCATGCTACAACCATCCGTCATATCAGCCGAAAAAGCGGGTAGACTATGCAAAAGGACGGACTGCAGCAAAATAAGTACACGGCCCGGCATCCTTGTACGTGCACACCGCAAAGTCTCCTGGCGCGGCGCTTGTGCTGAGCAGCCGCGACCCATCGTCAATAATTGCGCAGTTGACTGCCCAGCGCACGGATGCAGGCGCAGCCAACACGCACGCAGCAAGTAGAGCAAATGAGATCAAGGTGAACAAAGGGCGCATCATTAGCTCAGCTAGTGTGAAGGGCTATGAAAAGAGCAAAGATTGGCACCGGTGCCTTCGTAAGGTTGCTTGTCGGACCAGCGCGCCAGCAACGGGGGAAAGAGAAAGAGGCTGAGGAAGGAGTGAAGGAGGCCTAACTATAGGCACCTTTACGCGAAAGCGCACAATCTCAAAGCCCGACACGACTGCCGAGCACATCTTTTCAGCATGACTGTAGCTCGCTATAGAGGTCAATCACGCACTCTCGATACGCAACCAAACTGACGTCATCGCGTTGAGCAGCTCAGGTTTGCACTGCGCATTGAATCGCGTCACGTTCGCCACGATCCCCGCTACCGCATCCGCGTCACATTCCGACATATCGAATTCCCGCTGTGCCCAGCCAACCACAAGGTCGTCGAGGTTGTCGGGGTCCCAGAGGCTGGCGTCCCAGCTATATGCGAGGAAGAACTCTGTTTCTAGTTCGCAGGGCTTGAGGTCGCCGATGTTGAGGACCCAGATTCGGGTCGCTTGGCGGTCAATGGCGATGGACATCTGTTCGTAGATCTTGGAGATGTGGGAGCTCCGCAGCCGAACGCACTGCCCGATTGAGCTGGAGCACAAGACATTCAGCTATGGCAGATCGCAAGAACGGAGAGCAGGGTGCCCTACCCGGCCAGATGTGGTTCGCCTTCAAGCGCAGGAGCAGCTCAAAGATCAAACGGATGTTGAGCCACTGGTAGGCTGTGGCGAGACTTCCAGCCTCACGGCCGAGTGTAAAAGAACCGATTGAACGGTGAGTTCCCGAGACTCTGCGCCTCCTTCCCACGCATTCTGGTGACTTTCGAAAGACCGCAATTGAGGCGGTGCAGCTGGTGTGCAGTGCGGAACGTCGAATTCGCATACGGTGTGTCGGTGGGCAAGGAGGGGTGATCGGTGGCTGTGCTGATCGGATCTATAGTTAAGCCGATTGTTCCGTAGTTAGCCAGGACTGTTGTTCTCTGCCGCCATCGCACGCGCTTATCAGAGCATCGTCACCCTCCGATCCCTTCCCCCGCCGCCGTCCCAACGGGGGGAGGTAGCGGGGGCAAAGGATCACCTGCGGACCTCTCCCCCATCCACGTCCTCAGAGCGCTCCACCCCTCGTTCATCCATCCAGATCTCCATTTTCACTGCAACCAAGCCCCTCTCCATCCCGACAGGACTGCCCTCGAAGGATTCGAATGCAGCCGCCGCGGCCGTTCATAGCTCCCAGCGAGATGATTGTACAGCTGCGCTGTCTGCGATGCCGCGACAAGCGCGATGTGTTACATGAAGTGACGCCCCGCGTACGATTTCAGGGCGCATGACGAGCGCGTTTTGGAGACGTTTCGGTTGGTATGCGGCGGGGATGGTCGACTTGACGAACTTTGGGGAGGTAGCTGGTCGAGGAAGGCGCACCCGCGGGGACTTCTCCACATCCACACTCTCCCTGCGCTCCGCCCACTCGTCCATCCTACTACTCTATCCTCGAACCTCTGAGATCCTGGTCTCCAGCCTTGATTGTCAGGACACACAGCTTCTCTGCGATCAGACGTCCGGTTAGGAACCCGCTGCTGCTAGGGCAGCGATAGCGCCTTGGAGTAGCAGAAGCGCAGATTGAGTAACGTTTTCCAGCCATGCTGCCGATCCTATTTCCGACATCGGGAGCCTTCCGTCATCATCGATGATGTGCAAATACGGCACGGCCGAAAGTGCAGACACATAATCATTGGATGGCGTGAGAGCTTCTTCATGGCCGGTTCGAGCTAGAGAGATGGTACAAATGATACATATGATGAGAGATAAGTACGTGCAAGAGTGTACATAGATATCACGAACGTTTATGCGACGAAAGTCAGATTGAATCCGCACGAGGAAGACTCGGGGGTCGTGGGAGTGGCCTCAGAGGACGGAAAGTGGACGGCGTTGCTGCAAGAGGCCCTGGGAACTCCTCGAAAGGCCCTTCCACGATGGGGGTCTGGAGCGGAGATGACGAGCTGAAGAAAGGGCCAGTCCCCGTGCTGACACCGGTGCTGACAATCCCGGACTTCGCCCTCTCCACGGCTTCGCCAAGCTGAGCAAGCCCTTCCTGCGTTAGTCCGTAACTCTAGCAGCGGGATGCGCGCCGGAATCGTCGTCGTCTTGTTGTCCACCGAGCCGCCGCCGACGTGAGTCTGCACCAAGAAAACACTGTGATCAGAGCGCTGGGTCAACGTGACTCGGGGCAAAGACGCACCGCAGTCGCACCCGGCAAACCAGACCTCGTCGATGTCCGTCTCCTTTGTCCTGTCCTGCGAGTAATGCTGCTCGATCCGCTTCTGTGCGCGCATTCGCCTGCCGTTTACGTGCGCGTAGTTGCCGCCCCGGTCGTGGTGGTGGTGGTGCCGCTGAATCTGCTGGTCCGTGATGCTGAGCAGGCGCTCGCGGTCATTGGGCCGGTTCCACAGGTTGGGCTTGAACTTGGCCCGGCACTCGTTGAGCGAGACCGAGTGCCGGAATGTGCAGAAGATGGCGTTTGAAGCGGTGATCGGCAGCCTGTACTGCCGGTGCCATGTCACTGGAGACGACGAGAGGGGTGCAAGGAGACACGCACCTGCGGGGAATGAGACCAACAGAGCTCACGGTGTCCCAAACGCCAATGCATTTGAATCGATCCGGTCACCGGAAGTCGATCGTTGGGCGTTGAGGGTGCGCGATCGGCCCCATGAGAGCGCCGTAAAATGTGCTGAGTGTAAGTGAGGCAGGCGCACAATCTTCCAAAGCATCCGCGGCGCGATTTGTTGAGACGGCGGACAGCAGGAGGAAGCGCAGACCGCGAGAAACGCACCTGTGAGCTTGAGCCCCATGCACACTCGTGCTCCGCCCATTCGTGCATCCAACTCCTGCGTACCGCCCCTCTGGGAGCCGTCTCCCCGGTTGCGTTCAGCGGTCACGGTCGTTGGGAGTTGTCGAGGACATGCGATTGATGGATGCGGCCGAGGAAAGCAGAAAGCGGCGCGGTGTGCGTGATGCTGCAAAGAGCACGATGTTCTGCAGCACATGAGACCGCAAGCTGGTCAGAACGAGACTAGCACAGGTGCGCAAGCGGTACGTCGATGGAGCGCTGACGGTCCGCAGATGCCCTTGAGCCTTTCCCCTTTGCGTTGCCGATGAGGCTGAGGATGAAGAGATAGTGGCGATCACATTTCGAGTGAAATCGGAGGCTCAGATGAACTAGGATCACTCCGTCAGGTGCACGCCCGGGTGAGCGGAGGCATTCGGAAAATCACCACATGACATTGATTGTGAGGGTAAAAAGTTCACGTGACTGGCCGCGCGCTGACGAGAGCACACTTTCAAATTAACGTCTACGATGGTCGTGGTCGCGTCCCACTGGATCCGCACAGATATTGATCACGTCCTGTGAGAAATGGGCCGAGCTCCTGCAAGTTAGCGCTGCAATCAGGCGACAGAGATTGGGAAGGACCGAGAGGGTGCAAAGCAAATTCGAGATCTTCCGATCAATTGCGTCATACATTGCAGCCGCTTGATCTTTCTTTTCCTCCCACCCCGCATCCAGCCGTTTGCGCCGTCCGCGAAATGTTGACCCCGCCGCGACGCGACCCGGCGCGCTCCTCGGTCAAGGATATAAGAAAGCGAGCTGGCCACGGCACCTACCTCATCACACATCTCCCCCTCACACCATGGCTGCCTCCGGTTCCTCCTCGCTCACGATGTCCCCTCACCTGGCGGATCTGCAGCCTGTCCGTGTCAAGTCGCACGATGACGCCCCCGGCGCCCCTGACCTCAGCTTCCCGTTTGACACGACCGACACCGCAGAGGCCGGTGTGACGAACGAGTACCGCGCCGCGACAAAGAGCGGTCTGATGTCTGCAATGGAGGCTCTGCGGCCCATACCCGCACACACGGCCGTACAGCCCCACGCTCTCTCTGACCCCGAAAAGGCGAAGGCGCTTGAAAAATACGAGTTTGTGACTTGGAAAGTGAACGACCTGAGGGACCCCCGAAATTGGTCTACCCTGTGGCGGTGGTGTACGTCTCTTTCAGCTCGTGGTATCGAGTGCTTATGTCTGGCTCTCAGATATCACCGGTGTTGTTACAATCGCCGTCGTCTCCGTTGCCTTTGGTAGTGCCGTCATCACGGGCGACTTCAAGGACATCCAGTCTGAGCTGCACATTGGCGAAGTCGTCGCTGCCCTATCAGTCTCTCTAATGGTCGTCGGATTTGGGTACGTCTATTGTCTGCTTCTCTCAAGTCAACGCTTATCAGAATGAACAGTCTTGGTCCTCTCGCATGGTCGCCGCTGAGTGAACTGTACGGGCGGAGACCTCTCTGGTTGATACCTTCCGTCTTCTACGTCGGTGGGTATCCTACCTCATCGATCATCTATGCAAGCACGCTTACAAAGACCCCGCAGTCTTCAACATCCCATGTGCCCTAGCGACAAACATTCAGACGCTGCTCATCTGCCGATTTTTGTGCGGCTTTTTCGCATCTGCACCGCTCACTCTCGCCGGTGGCACAATTTCTGACATCTGGGACAACAACGAGCGTGGGCTGGCCATCGCATTCTTCGCTGCTGCACCGTATGGCGGACCTGTCCTTGGGCCCATTGTCGGTGGATTCGTCGGTCAGAGCATTGGATGGCGTTGGATCATGTGGGTCAACATGATCTTTGCTGGTGTCGTGTGCGTACCCTTCTTCCTGCGAGTGCTTTCGGTGCTCATCTCTCTACTAGTCTGCTCTTCTGTGCCACTATTCCGGAAACTTTCGCGCCTGTGTTGTTGCGCAAACGTGCTGCCGCCTACCGTGCTCAGACTGGTCGGGACGACATCGTCACTGAGCAGGAGTTGTTCAAGAAATCGTTCGCCCATATGCTTATCGACACTCTCATTCGACCTTTCCGTTAGTGTTATCCGTGCTCTCGTGCTAATCTACATGCTCACTTCGCAACAGAAATGATCGTCACAGAGCCCATTCTGCTGTTGATGTCGCTGTACATTGCTCTCATCTACGGCCTTCTCTACGCGTTCTTCTTCAGTTTCCCTGTCGTCTTCGGCGAAGGTTATTCGTTCAGTGATGGCCTCGTCGGACTCACGTTCTGCTCCGTATTGATTGGAGTTGCATTGGCTCTAATTGCGACGACCCAGCTGGAGAAGAACTATCTCCAGCGTGCTATGGCGAAGGGCGGTCGTGCTGATCCCGAGGATCGTTTGGTGGGAATGATGCTGGCTGCGCCTTTTGTCCCCATATGCAAGTCTCCTCTGATCCACTTGGGAACATCTTGGCTCATTATTCTCTCTAGCTCTCTTCATTTTCGGATGGACGAGTCCCCCATATGTGATGCCGGGTGGTGGGAACTGGGTCGGTCCTGCCAGTGCTGGCATCCCCTTCGGATTTGGCAGTACGTCCTTTTCCATGACTGCGCTTTCGCCTTGACTCATCGCGATTTTAGTGGTCGTGATCTACTCGTCTGCCAATGCATACCTCATCGATGCGTTCCCCGGCTATGTGGCCTCCGCTCTGGCTGCCAAGACGGTCATTCGTTCTGGTGCTGGTGCGGCCATGCCTCTGTTCATGGTGCAAATGTTCCACGGCCTGGGCAACGGATGGGCCGCGTCACTGCTTGCCTTTGTCTCGCTCGCCATGGTCCCTATCCCATTCTTGTTTTACAAGTTTGGCCGCTCGATTCGGGCACGCTCTCGGCGTGCGGCTTAATATCCCTGTCTCTGTTATTTAAAAGGTATTGTAGCTTCCACTCGCGCTAGAGCACAGCGAGCTATATAATTTCTTGACCTATGTAGTCGTATATCTGGCGTTTATAATAGGGATAATAATCGTATACCGCGTCTGAACCTGGAGTATTTCGGACCTATCGTGCCCCTTCGCCATCGCATCGCACTTCTTGGTCACAGCCGTGACACATAGATTTCCCCACTGGCTATGTCGCCTTCTTCAGTTGCTTCTGCTTTCAGCCCATTATGACTTGTTCTCGCGCCCTATTCCGGTGCTTCAAAGCTCTGGAGAGGCTGGGAGACCGACTTACAGGCGCCGCAGGGCCTTTCTCCGTGACATTCGTGGTTGTTCTCATTGGTGCAGGGATTATTTGTTTCTGTAAGCGCAATTGAGTGGCATCTCACCGAAGTCTCAGCTGACTGTTCAAGACCACATCATACTCCTGGACCTCAACTGACCGCTCCTTGTGCTCCCGTGTGCATTTTGATCACTCTCAACCTCGTGCTGCCCTACTTCTACGTGGTGACCGTTTCGCCGGGGTTCGTGGACGACCCGCCCCCAAGACTCTCCACACGGGATATTTTGGGCGTCGAAGAGGCAACCCTCAATCCGCTGGTCCGCTGACCTCAATGTCACGGCGGCAACAACGGCTAAATGTCGGAAGTGTAGTCAGGTCAGACCCGAGGTATGCTTCCGCGATTCACCTTCCTCCGCTTCGCGCTGACCATCCTGAAGAGAGCACACCATTGCCAGATATGTAATCGTTCTGTTCTCAAGTATGACCATCATTTTCCAGCGTGTCCTTCCTAGTATATCCCGTTTGGTGTGCGTACCGATGCGGTGAATCAGTGTGCGAGCTTTCTCCATCACAAAGATTTCATCCTTTGACAATGTATGCGCAGGGACAAAGCAATGCGTCGGCCTACACAATGAGCGCCATTTCGTGATGTTCATGGCATACCTCATCATCCCCTGTGCGGCGATCAGCATTACTGGCCTCCCACATGTCATGCTCGCGCTCGGAGTCTCAGCATCCTACACCTATTAGGTTCCTTTTCTCATTCCGAAGCACCTTGACCGCTGGATCTAATCGTGCTTGGTAGGTCGATTGGCTGTACCTTGTGCCGCAGGTCATGTTCATCCTCGAGTACATCCTCGCATCGGTGATGTGTCTTGTGGTCGGAATCATGTGCAGCTATCATCTCTGGACCGTCGCGCCTGGAGAGACGACTGTCGAGGCCCCGGATCATGAAGTATACCGCAAGGTCACCTAACCGCGAGATGAGGTGAGCCAGGGTCGCACTGAGCCAGTTCCATCTCATCTGCATCCAGACCTTCGTCAACTTTTACGACCTCGGCAAGCGTCGGAACCTCCAGGTCTTCTTCGATGTCGGAGAGAATGGATAGTGCGTACCGTCCGATGCTGTCACCCTGGTTCGTGCTCAACGCGATCAGCCCTACTATACGCTGTTCATACCTTTCCGAATCATGCATGCCCTACACCGATGGCCGTTCCTGGGCCCCCAGAGAAGGATACAACGGTCACCATGGTGTGCGGCGCGGGGAGGAGCTGACGGACGATGAGGGTGAACGTCTAGCATAAGGTGTGTTGCGTTCGATTATGAGGTGTGGTGATGATCTCCGCCGGGCCATATGACACTTTCGAATATGCTTGTCGTGCTCGGGAAGTCGCTTGATCAACGTCCGGCTACTGGACTCGATTCCAGTTCATGTTCTGAACGCGCTGTGATTTGGTGAACGAACCGATGCTGACTCTTCGCAGATCTCAGCCTGTATATCATTCGGAACGCGACCATGTTCGGTACTCTTAACCCCGTCTGCGCAACCCCGCCATCCTCTTTTGCAATATGCGAATTAGATGATCACGGGGTGTGCGGATCTTCGTCACCGTTGTTGCCGTCTCAATCCCCCTTGTTATCCTCATCCCTCGAGCTTAACTTTGGTGCAACACTCTCTGCGTGGGAGAAGCAGCTTCTACCGGGCAGCTCCCCGAAATCAGGCATCAAAGCTTCTCACACTTATCCTTCAACTACGCCCTGTGGTGAGCTCGAGAAGGGGCCTCGACTAAGTAGTCTTTCGAACTCGGTGGCCGGGAACCACGCGTTCGCTGACTCGCACTCTCTCCTCATATTCATCTTTGTCTCCGAATGCTTCCAGCCCATCGCGTCGACGCATCCATTCGCCGCATTCATTGTCGTGCTTTGCACTACGGAACTCCCAGATATCAACCTTGACGCCGAATGGAGCCAGCCTCCTGACCCCAGAAGGACCAAATTTGGAACTCTGTTCTGCAACTTCATCACTATCGTTGCATGAGGGTGTGCTTGGGGAGCACACCACAAATCCGAACTAGCATGAGGATGCTTTCGCAGTCAGTGACTCATCCAGATATAAGTAGAATGTATCTGTCTACACATCAAAAATTCCCCGACGGGGAGTCGAACCCCGGGCAAGTGCGCTAATCAGACACAAAGTCGCTGAAAAGCACCTATGTTACCGCTACACCATCGAGGACTCAATGGGATCTTTCATGACTGCACAGGATCTCCCATCGATTGGACAGGTTCCTGATCCAAGAAGCCGACATGTGCTGGATCTTTCTGAGCCGGTGCCCCATACCTGGCTCTGTCGTCGAATGCATCGGTCTTTGTACAAGGGTTACAAAAGCACTCATCTAGCTGTCTATTAGTGAAGGAAAATGCTAACCTCACGTCATTCACACTTTGGGCCCAGGAGCCAGAAGATGAGAACCAATTGGCTTGTGATCCATAAACGATAGAAATACTAGTCACAGTAAAAGAACAGGACAACAACGGCCGAGTCTGCGACGTCTAGATAAGTAGTTGGTACGTAGGTAAATAGATTATTTTCTCGAAACTCAAGCACTGTCTCCATCAGCGACCTTCTCGTGATGGTGGTGGTGATGACCTTCCCGGCCACCAGCCTGAGCATCAGGACCACCATTGATCTCAAGGGTGTGGCCGATCTCCTGCTCGAGGCCAACGTAATCGTAGGCGTATTCACCCATTTCCGTGTCGTCAATGCCAATGAGCTCGCTCTCCTCTGACGCCCGCAAACGCAGTGTGGGGATGAAGTGCATGATCCAGAGAATGACGGTCTATCGCCGGTCAGACCGGCGGTATACTTGCAAATATAGGGGCACTCACGGTCATGACAAAGCTGTAAGACATGCTGGCGACTGAGTCGGCGAGCTGGTACGCAAGCTGGATGTAGTGATGGTCGAGCCATCCTCCAGGGATCACGGTAGCTCCGTCGTAGAACTAGGACAAACATCAGCGTCGAAACAAACGACAAAAAGACAATGGTGACGCACGGCAATACGCGACTGGGCGAAAAGACCGGTGAGCAGGTTGCCGATGACACCACCAATAGCGTGCGAGGCAAAGATCTATGGAAACAGATTAGTCAGCATGGGGCCAGGGGTGGACAAGCTCAGGCACATGGAGATAGCACCGTCCAGCGAGGGACAGGGGTGTGCTCCTCCAGATAGTGAGAATCAGACTTACATCAAGCGTGTCGTCGTATCCGAACAAGAACTTGAGCTGCGTCGCAAAGTTGCAGAGCGTGCCGGCCATGAATCCGAAAAGGACCGAAGCAGGGGCTCCGACGAAACCAGACGCAGGGGTGATAGCGACGAGACCCGCGATGGATCCAGAACAGAAGCCGACAGCAGACCACTTACGTTCCAGCCGCCAATCCTGCAACGAATTAGTCCGGGGCTTATGTCAGCCCCTCGAAACACGCACCCAGAACATCCAAGTTAATCCACCCACGCTAGCAGCCAAGTTGGTGATGATGCAGGCATTGGCAGCACGCATGTTGGCTGAGAGCGCAGAGCCGCCATTGAAGCCAAACCACCCGAACCACAGGAGGACCGTGCCAAGAACGACATATGTCGTGTTGTGGGGCTTGTATGCCAGGCGGGCAGTACCCCATCCAGTACGCTTGCCCAAGTAGATGGAGATAGCGAGCGCCGCAGAGCCGGAGGAGATGTGCACGGGGGATCCGCCGGCGAAGTCGAGCCCGCCAAGAACGAACGACCAGCCGTTGCTATTCCATGTCCAGCAGGCAATGGGGTCGTAAACGAGCGTGCTCCAGGCGAAGACGAAGAAGATCGACGGCCAGAGTCGGCCGCGTTCAGCAAGAGCGCCGATGGCGAGGATAGGGCTTCAGATGGGCGTCAGTGAAGAAAGGAGTAGCCGGTGCCAACGTACGTGATGGCAGCGAACATGAGCTGGTAGATGCAGAAGACGATGCTGGGGATACGGGTCGAGCCAATGGAAGGCGACTCGAGGACGCCCCGAAGGGCGAAGTACTTGGATACTCATAAGCGATCTATAACATTTCAAGAAAAGAATCGCACCTTCAAGTCTCCGATGAAAGCACTACCAGTCTCACTGAACGCCAAAGAGAAGCCCCAGAAGAACCACTGGAGACGCGAATGAATTCCCCGCTGGTCGGACATCGGTGCAAAGCGCAACGTACCTGGAAAGAGACCACTGCGACCGTCATCATGCTGAGCCATATCATGCTCAACGCATTCTTCCTTCTCAACAAGCCGGAGTAGAAGAATCCAACACCAGGAATCATGATCCAGACGAGGGCCATCGATGCGAGGACCCATGCAATGTCGCCGAGGTTGTACACGAACAGAGTGCCCGTGGAGGGGTCGACATAGTGCATGTCGTTGGAGTTGGCATCGTAGCTGATGTTGAGCGTGCGCGCGATGTGGGTGTTGGTGAGCGTGCGCGCGATCAAGTTGGCTGCGGCCATCGCGTAAGGGAGAGAGGAGAGGGAAGGAAAAAGGAGGGAGGCTTCTTCAAAGCAAAGCAAAGCAGGAGAAGAGGAAGCTGCACAGCAGAGCGGATAAATGAATCCCCCCTCGCGAAAGTTCGCACGCTTGTCGAGCGTCTTATCGCCCAATCATATACCTGCCAAGCTAGCGCACACGATACGGCCTGTCAACCATCCGTCGGCCGTCCTGGTGAAGTGAAAGATGCTGAGCAGCTCTGAGACCGAGTTCACGATCTCTGAAACTCTGGATGTGCAGAGGAATGACTTGAGCTCACAGTTTACTTCTCCGCATCAGATTTTTACACCAGAAACAGATTTCCGGCCCGGCCCCACAGACATTGTCGTGGAAAGATTCCGTCCCGCACCCGAAATCTCCGAAGCCCCCTCAATCAGTTTTTATGCCGGCTGACCGGCATTCTAGACCCGATGCGGACTTTGCCGCCTACTTCTTCCGCCCATTTTTGAGCCCCAGTTTGCCGCATCCGCAAGAGTGAGGATCTAGTACATATGTAAGGACTACGAATTGTCATGTTCTAGGCGTTGTTACGCAACGAGCGAGTGTCGGACTGAGTGCAGTCTTCCTGTGATAGTGTCAAGATCGCCGGTATCACTGACATCTTGTGACGTCCGCCCGTCCCCTTCGCTCAAAGCACCCAGGGAAATTCAATTCCCTATCGGCTGTGTTCATTCCCTCTCGCTATCAGCTCCTCTGAGCAGCGACTCGTCTGACACTAGGCGTTGCTAGTAAAACCTTCATCATTCGTCTGAGCCTCAGTGACGTGTATGCCGCATCCGTGCATCTCAAAACGCCGTTCATTACTCACTACTGAGTGTCAAAACCCCGTAACGGCCTCTTATTCGATGTTGAGGAGATATTCAGTCCGGAGAGTGACTTTCAGTAGCAGATGCACTGCACTCTACATCTCCCGTCGTCCAACCTCCCGCGGTGGATCAGTCTGGACTCGCCCTAGCATGGCACCTGACAAAATTCGGTGGATGTGCTCTTTGGCGCCAAGTGGCAGATCGGACCTGTCATAGTGAATGGGTTGAACAGTCGAGATCAACCTTCGGTGCCTGATACGAGCGCGTGACTTCACGTCCCGGCTCTGCAGTACCGGAATCTTGTCTACAAGTGACCGAGAGCTCGCACGGTTCTAGTTGAATTTCAACAAGTAATCCTTCGTGGCGACACTGATTACCCGTCAAGAGTTGAATCTTCCAACGATTCTCGCATACTAGCAAGAAATAGGTGTGGGATTAGTGGATAGACTTCGGTTGTAAAGGACTGGACGCATCTACCTGAGAGACGCCAGACATCTCCGTGCTTCTTACCACAATCTGAAACTGACTCAATTCGCCGATAGCTCAATCGTTCGACGGATCCGTCAGATCTTTACCACACTAGAGACTTCAAGTAGTAAAGTGGTGGTGCAACACTTTAGCACCTCCAAGACTAGATAGGACTAGACAGACACCGCCATTTTCGCTTGTACTTAGGACAGGTTCACTTAATGAAGACCCATGGGCAGGCTGTGGGGGGTCCACAGCTCTGCAGGCTGACTGCCAACACGTCCCACCTCCGTCTCCATCTGTCAGTCCGTCTGTGTTTCAGCCGAAATTGAGTTGGAATCATAACTGAGGGAGCGTCGGCGGTTTCGTCAAGCGAAATCACCCTAGTCCCCGCCCAATGGGAAGCTGAGCGTTGCCTGGGGCCAACATTCACATCTGCAATCATCCTTTGCTGTGCAAATCGTCTAGGACACTTCCAGTTCACAGTCATATCCCCTTGCTTCTATATTCCTCCAACCCGGATAAGGCTGGGCCCCACATCTCTATTTCGACCCAGGCGTCAGTAGATGAGGTCCCTTCTCATGAACAAACATGCAAGCAACTTCCACGCTATACTTGTGTATCCCCATGACGAAGACTAGACTGTGACCGCTCCGAATCTTGTTGGCGGGCGCTAAGCTCTCAATATTTTCATCTGTTTTCTCAAAACCATTTTTTAAATTCACGGTCACATAAATCGATCGCGAGCTTGACAACGGGAAAGTGATTACGGTGCTGCTGCTACTGGTGATGATGGCGGCTCCAGTCAATAGCTGGGACTGGTGATGTGTACTTGGTTCCCTATTCATCTGATCTGTCGAACGAGGCTGTGAACAACTGACGAGTCGATTCAGCGCTACCGCTTCTCCGAGCGGGTTTTCTCAGCTATTCGGCTGAATCCGAAGTCGGAGGATGATGAGTTATGACGACTTCCAGAAATCAGAATAATCTAGACTCAATGAGATCTAGACTGAATGAAATCGTCTTATGTTCAAAACTGCATTCCATTTCACCTTCATGAGGAGATGTCGAGTTCACCCGGGAAGCCAAGATGTCACACACTGGGACCCATCATTGTCAATCGGGATACTCAATCATTCTCGGGTGCTGGCTCTAAAGAAGGATCATCCGACACAACCACTTGTCGGATCTGCGCCGCAGCCTATGCTCTGGTAGAAAAGATGCGTTGCCAAGGCATGATTCCAAATTGCACATACAGCTTTCGATAGCATCGACGCGACATCGATTGAGTAGGACTTCCCGAGGAAGGTCCGCGGAAACCAGTCAACTACACTCTTTCCGAATCATTCGGGTACGTACCGGGCCAT